GACGCACGCCTACCTTGGTGTCTCCGTGAGGGCTGGGCGTTAAGGGCCACAGAGACCATAGCTGCAGTCTTCCCCACCCTCTGAGTCAGCCCTGGGTCTCCTCACTCCACCCTCCTTTCTTAGGTGAAGCCCCTGCTCCCTTAGACTTGGGTGGTAGCAGAAGGTCTGGCTAGAAGTACTTTTTCTAAACCCTGAATCCAATTAACTTGGATGCCTGAGGGCCCTGGCAGCTGAAGCATGAGCCCAGCCCCTGCAGGGTCTCCCGATGGCCCTGGTCCTGAGACTGGGACTTGCACATTCATCCCTAGCCTCAGGCTGACAAAGACCTGCCCTCACACCTGGGGGAACAGGGAGCTCATGCCTCTTCCTGACCCCTCCTCTCTTTCCTCACTCCCTAGCTCCCCCACAACTTAGCAGGGACCAAGGAGCCACCAAGGCCACTTCCTGCCGTACCTGCCTGGTGTGAGGTTGCAGCTGGGGAGGCTCATTCCCAGGGAGGAGAGACTGGGCAGGGGCTACAGTCCTTTCAGGCTGTTCTCAGAGCCCCCACAGCAGTGCAATGCAGCCCCCACACAGAATCTGCTGGACCCAGGCTGCCTGCTCCCCCAGCCCCAGCCTGTCCCCACACAGCCTGCACGCCTGTGCTCAGCACAGCTGGGCAGGGAGGGAGGACCCGCAGGGAGGAAGGGGCTGTAGATGGAACTGGTGCCGGGATCCGAGAGTTGGGCTCAGGCTGGGACAGGGTAAGATTAACCAGAACGCTGCTGTGGCCGTGGCTGGGGCGCCCTTCCTGGGGCTCAGTTCTGTGTGTGTAATATTCATGGTCGTCAGGAAAATTTGTAGCCATGGAGACTGGTGTCCAGTCCAGGGACCTGGTGCCAGGCCGGCTTTATGGAGCCTCTGCATGTTTCTTCCGAGTTTCCTATTGGCTTAAATTCACTAAGCCACTCAAGTCTCCTGGGGATGATCATGGTGTTTATTTTTGCCAGTTCTTTTGGTTGGGGTGTGACTAACAAGTGTTCCCCACCTTGGACATCTCCAGGAAGAGCAGGTGCGTCATGGGCTCACACAGGGCCCACGTCAGGCAGAGGAGCTGGATGGGTGGGGTGTGCGGGAAGGCATCGTGGAGACTCTGCTGCCTCAGTTGAGTCTGCGGGAATCTTTTCAAATCAAATTAGTGTCATTTCTTCTCTGTGTCTCTTGCCAGGAGTTGTAGGCATAAAGGCAGAAGATAGTTGTCAAGCAGTTATATCTTCTCTGGAAGCTGCTGGGCCGTTGATCTGCTTTGCTCCTCCCAGCCTTCAGGGTTTGGCTTTGTGGTTTGTTTTCAGTTTGTTGAGTGCAATGAACTTTTTCATTGCCCTAGAAGCTGGTAAGGATTTGATGTTTAATTGCACAAGTGCTACGTTGCTCAGTGTAGACTGTTGAGTGTTCACATCGTAAAATACACAGTGTAGATGAAGTGACGGGTCCCTTGGCCATGTCTCCATGCCGGCCCTCGGAGTCGCAGTTTATCTGTGTGGGTGTGCATCCTGTGTGGGTACCTGTCCTGCATGGGTGCCTGTCCTTTGTAGGTGCCTGTCCTGTGTGGGTATATGTCTTTTGTGGGGGATGTGTCCTGCGTGAGGGCCTGTCCTCTGTGGGTGTGCCCTGTGTGGGTGCATGTCCTATGTGGGGGTGTGTCCTGTGTGCAGGCGTGCCCTGTGTGGGTGCCTGTCCTACACAGGGGCCTGTCCCACATGGGTGCGTGTCCTGTGTGGGTGCGTGTCCTGTGTGGGTGCATGTTCTTTGTGGGGCATGTCCTGTGTGGGGGCATGTCCTGTGTGATACTTTCCATGCACATTGAATTGTTTTATGCATTTTCAAGTGTAATCCTCAAGACAGCTAACCAAAAATTCAGAAGAGAGAATGTGTGACTACAATTTAAATTTTTCTTCACTTCATATGAGAGTCTGTATTTCATCGGGTCTGAGATGCTAGAGACTGTTATAGCATTGAGATGGGGTAACTGCACTTTCTACAGTTTTCTGCTTGCACTGGGATAGTCCAGAGATGCTAAGCTGTAGATGTCACACATCTGTGACTGGCTGATGCTTCCTTCCACAGGGGCCTGTCCCATCTGTGTGTCAGAAAACTGTCATGTTAGGAGAGAGGTTCTTACCCTGATGGCGTCAGTTCAAAGCTACCTGACACACCTCCCCCTGGAGACCGGCCCCACCCTGCAGGGTCTGTGGGCTGGACACTGGGCCTAGAGGCCCTCCAGGTGGCCCAAGGTCCGCCCTTCCTAGACTCCTGGGGCCGGCAGGAGCCTGGAGTCACCTCTGGCCACCATGCCAGGCTTTGTGTCCGAGGCCTGAAACTCAGGTCCCTAGAAGTGGCCCTCACAGGCTTGTATTTGACACTTGCATTCTTTTAAAAAAGTTTTGGTGTATACTTAGGCAATTTACAAGCCCTTGGGGCAACTTTGGGAGGTATATGTGATACTGGTAAGTTTGTTAAAAGCATTTGCTAATGAAACCCGAGTTCTTTGGAGGGTTGGCACATGGGTGGCAGTGGGAGAAAGTTGTCCTTGCTCTTCTGCCAGTGACAGCCATCCTGCTTTGCTCACCTGTGATCCCTGGGCCAGGTCCAGGCCAAGCGGAGGAAGCAGCGGGTCCCAACAGTGCCACACCTGAGCCTGGTGGCCCCTCCTCCCTCCCACGCTGCCCCCCCACCCTGCCCAGAGCTACTGCCTCCCACCCCACTCCTGCTGGACACCCTCCCAGGACCCACCTATGTCATCCCAAGATAGCTAAGGCCGCTCACCTCATGGTCACAGCCTAGGGGAATTGCCTGGTCCAGGCTAGAAATGTCGGGGCTGCCAGGGCAGCAAGCACGGGGGGTGGCCAACAGCACAGAGTGGAGCCAGGCACCCCCAAGGCCCGAGGCTGCCCGGGCACAGCTTCCTTACCACCTGCCTCTGCAGCTTCTGTTGAGGCCCAGCAGAGAAAGCAGGAATTTGGGTTTTTTAGCTGAGATCATCTCTTGGGTCCATTGGTTGCTTAGGAAAAGTTAAAGGTACGTGGCCAGCTGTAGGTACACGCCAGGATGGTGGGCAGCGCACCAGAGCTTCCCACCTCCTGGGCCGCAGTGGCTCCCTTGGGGCCTGTGACCCCTGGCGGGTCAGGAGCACTGGTGGTCAGAAGCAAGAGCTGGTGTGAAGGAGGCTGTTTCCGCAGCGTCCTTGCCGGTGCCTGACACAAGAGACAGCCCTGAGCCTGGCACTCTGGAAGCCTGCAAGAAACAGCTGGACCTGCAGGTCCGCCGTGTGGCCGCCCGTGTGGGACAGCCTGGGTTCCCCTCGCCATCCACCCCAGGCCAGCGCCCATGTTACTGCCTCTGTCCGTCTTGGCCCTGCCCTCAGCGCCCTGGCCTCCATCCCGAGACCCTGCTGCCGGGCCCTGTCCACCTGCTCAGGGCCTGTCCAGGCGCCCCACCATGTGGGCTGACAGACCCCCAGCCACTGCCACAGCCCCTCTGCAGCCCCAACGGTGCGGTGGACTTTGGCCTGCATGGTCAGCAGAGGCCTGTGTGGCCCACAGGGTGGGGACAGAGGCGGGGCTGGCGCCAGAAGGGTTTTTGCCTTTTGGGCCAGGTGTTCTGCTGTGCCTGCCTTATTGGCAGCTGTGAGCCTAGGAGGTGGATGCGGAGCCGGCTGGAGCAGGTCAGCCACTGGGTTCCCCTGTGGGTGTCCACATTGTCCTTGCCACAAAACTCCTCACTCCTCAGACCCCATGGGTCTGGCCTGGTGGGTCTCAGAGCCTCCCGCCTGTGTGTCTAGGTGGCCCAGGCCTTCTCGCCACAACTCTTAAGCCTCTCCATGCTGGGCACCTGCCAAGGAGGGTGCCCCTCGCCCCCCAGGCCCTGCCTCTTGCTGTCAGCCCCCAGCGGGCTCTAGGGATGTGGCTATGTGTGTGTCTCCCTGAGTGTATGTGGGTGTATGTGGATTGGTGTGGGGACATGGGTGAGGGGTGGGAGCTGTTAGTGTGGGGCTGTGGTGGAGGTGTGAGTCTGCATGTGTGTGCGTGTGTGGAGTGGGGCTGCGTAAATACCTGTGTGTAGGGGGGCCCTTGCGTCGACTTACTTTGCTCTTCCTGGGGTGGGATGCACAGGTTGGCGCTGTGCCGGGCCTCCCTTCCTGAAAGCCCTGGCTCCTGGTAGGCAGTGGCTGGTTCTGATTCCCACGACCCGCATCATTTCCCTGGGCTCCTGGCCTTGCTCACAGTCAACACTGATGTTCTCGCTTTTTCCAGGAAAGGTGAAGCATGTGGATGGTGGCTGGGGTCACCTCCTGGTCGCCTCAAGGCCTATCTGCCCCTAGCTCTAACACTTTGTGTCGTCCTCTTCTTTTGTTAATTAGGGGAGAGGTGGACAGGAGGGAGACCTGGGCTTTCCTGGTAAGATGTGGCTGGAGAAACACGGTCACAGGGGGCCCTCTCCCTCCTGCTGGGGTCCTGGCTGCCCTCCCAGTCCCCAGCCTGCAGCCCAGGTGGAGCCAGGCAGCTAGCAACCTGCTAAAACCCAGCAGGCCCCAGGCACCGTCATCAGGATTTGGGTCATGCCCAGGGCCAGCACCTAGCGTGTGTGATAACAGGCCTCGGCACACCGTCAGCCCTCCCTGGGGCCCAGCCCAGACCTTCCCGAGCCATGCGGGGTGGGGCAGGGCCTCACAGAGGCGGGAGTCTGCGGTAGGTGCATGTGGGTGGGGAAGGGGCCTGTGGGCAGTTAACCCTGGCACCTGGCGCCTGCCTGCGGGACTGGCCATCCTCATGGGACCCGTCCATCTCTCCGTTGCAGCACAGGCTCAGCGGGATGTTGTCAGCCGGGGCCAGGCTTGGTGCTTGCAGACCGAGCTTTTGGCCACTGCCATGGGAAGGGTGGGCTGAAGAAGCTCCAGGTAACGCACCCATCTGGAGACCCTTGTCCATCCCCGAAGCCTGATGTTGTTCCCTGCCTTTCAGGGAGGAGCCGTGCTCAGGGCTGTGCAGGATGCAGAGCCGGAGCTGTCCCCAGAGGAGCAGAGCGTCCTGGAAAGGAAGCTGAAGAAGAAACGGAAGAAAAAGGAGCGGCAGCGGCTGCGGGAAGCGGGTGTCATGGCTCAGCAGCCGCCGGCCAGACGCTCGGGGGCCGAGCTGGCCCTGGACTACCTCTGCAGGTACGGGGCTCCGCCCCACGCACTTCTGTCCCTGATGTGTGTCTTGACCCCTGCACGAGGAGGCTGCCCCCTTCACCTGCACACGCTTTTTGGAAGGTTTTAGCAAAGTGGGACATCAGTGTTCATGCCAGGCCTGTGCTGCCACCACTGCCCTTTCTGTCTGAATGGCTCAGAGCCTTCAGGAGCTTTCATGGGCAGCAGCTCTCTGCAGGGGCAGCCCGGAACTGTGCTCTTAGACGTGGCTCCAGTGGTGAACCTCGTCCCGGTGTGGGTCACCACAGGGAGGATCTGCGGGCCTGGGTGCTGCTTGGACATGGAATGTGGAGGAGGGAACTCGGGGTGGCCCTCAGCCCTCACTCACAGTAACAGGAGGCAGCAGTGCCACCAGAGAGGAGACAGGGACCGAGGGGTGCCGGGCGCAGGGCGCCATCTCCCTGGCTGCCTGCAGCGTTGCTGGGTGGGCGGTGCAGGATTGCAGGGGTCAGAGGTTTGGCGTGGGCTCTGCAGCCATGCGGGCTGTGGCCACCTCCCTGGCGCTCACCAGCACAGGCTGCCGTCCATTTCTGTCCCTCTGTCCCTCTCCCTGAGTGCTGATGGCGCCTAGGAGAAGGGGTGTTATGGCATCCATGTGACCGGTGTCCTCAGAGACAACAACTAGGCCCTGTTCATTGGGTCCCTGTGATGGAGTCACCCTGACGGGCAAGGTGTCCTGTGAGGGGACGCTGGCCCTGCATGGGAAAACAGGCTCCAACCACGCCTCTGTGGGAGCCCCTCAGAGAGATGGCTCCAACCACGACTCTGTGGGATCCCCTCAGAGAGATGACCCCAAGTGTGGCTGTGCAGCTCAAGCAGTGAGCAGCAGGGCCTGCATGGATGTGTACACATGTATGTGTGTGTGCATGTGTATATATGTCATGTATATGTGTGCACCCATTTGTGCACACGTGTGGATGTGTGCGCACATGTGAACATGTGTGTGCATGTGTATATTTATGCTTGTGTGTGGGCATGTCTTGTATGTGCACATGTGTATACATGGACATGTGCATGTGTGTGGTGGGGTATGTGTAGATGTGTGGGCGCATGTGTGTACGTGTATGCAGATGTGCACGTGTGTGTGCATGTGTGTGTGTGTGTGTTCTGTGTGCATCCCCAGGACGGCCCTCTACTCCAGGAGAGAAGCTCTTGGCCACCCTGCACCAGGCAGAGAGCTGGGCTCAGGAAATAGAGGGGCTGAGCACTCCTCCTTCTTGGGGCCAAAGCTGCCTTGGAGCCGCAGAACACGAGCTCAGCCATGGCGTTGAGTGGATCTGGCTGGAACCAGTTCGGTCATTGTGGGTCTCTGCACCAAATGAGTCTCTGGGAGCCTCAGTTTCCCCCTCCCTGGGGAACATGGGGGAACATGATGGCCGGGCACCCAGGGCTGCCCCAAGAGCTCTTTCCTGCTCCGAGAATGCGCCTGGCCCAGGGGTCAGTGCTGGCTGTGGTGTGAGGCCGCTGACCCCTGCGCTCACTCCTGCTCCTTGGCAGGCAGGGCCACAAGCCACTGCAGAGTCAGTCGCTGTAGACAGAAGGGGTTTCGGTGGCCATTGGTGCATCACCTAGAGCCCAGGTATGGGTGGGGTGTGGGTTGGACAGAGGAGCAGGTGGGCACAGAGACCTGGAAGACGCCAGTTGCAGGAGCAGACTGTGGGCTGCCCCGTGGGATGTAGAGGGCAATTGGGGTCTACAGCTGTGCTGCCTGCGCCCTCCCTGGCTCCCAGAGGCTAGGCCCAGAGGCATAGCTGTTCTGGGCCTGTGCTGACGCCTGAGGCCAGCGGGGAGCAGGAGTGGGCAGGGTTTGTACTCTGTCCTCCCCATGGCCTCCTTCTTTCCTAGGGCCCCCTTCCTCCCTACTCCCCACACCTGCCAGTGCCTTTGGCTGCCCTCGGCGTGGACTCTTAGCACAAGGGGGCCGGTGGGGACATGGGCAGGAGAGGGGAACCAGCCGCGCTCCAGCGTGGCTGCCGCTCCCTGGTCTTCACCCTGGAGGCACCCTGGTTCCCCTCCCATGACCACATGTCCTTTGAGGACCCTATGGGAATGTCATGGGTGCCTGGGTGCCCACCCTGCTCCTGTCCTGGGCCTCATCCTCCAGGACCTTCCTGTGGCCCCCTTGTGCTACTCGTGACCCTGCAGCCACGAGCCCTGTGCGGAGGCACTGTCCTGCTTGTGCAAGGAGGGGGTGGCCCTTACTCCTCAGAAACAAAGCAGCCTCTTCACACGGGAGCTTCCTCCAGGGCCTGGGATCCATGCACCAGGGGGCTGCCATGCCAGCCACAGACATGGGCACCCCAGCAAGCGCTCCTCCTCTTTCCTGGGGGTCTCCAAGGGCACCCACAAGCCTAGCCACATCTGGCTGCCAGATCAGAGCCCACATGGACATGTGGGGCCCACGGTATCCTTGGGAACTCAGGGTTTTTCAGAGGGAATCAGGGGAGTCCTGCAGGGAAATGTCCTTAGTCTGGGGACCATTGGCCATGCCACAGCTGGCCCATCGCAGACCCCCCACTCAGGGGCAGCGGTGAAGGGAGGTGCCCCCAAGTCATCCTCCCACCTAGGCAGAGAGAAAAGGGATCATGTCAGGCAAACAGTGAACTGTCTGCAGCTGTATAGGGATCAGTCCTCAGGGTGGGCGGCAGAGGTGGCCATCACTCAGGAGGCCTCACCTGGCACCCCAGGAGCCACAGGTGACATTGAGCACCCCACCCTCCCCTCGCTTTGTCCGCTAGCCAGTGACGAGGCCGAGCAGGATGGCTCGTCTTTGGTGGCGAGGATGGAGACGAACTCAGCTTGAAGCCAGCCTGGTGGGGGCTCAGCAAGACAGAGGCTCCCTCAGTTCAGGGCCGTGGGCAGCAGTGTAGTGGCCTTGGGCCCCACAGGAGGGCCATGTGCAGGGCAGAAGTGACTGACCCACCGTGTGTGGTCTCTGGAAACACCTGTGAAATGGGATCACCACTCCAGGTTCCCAAAGAGGAAACAGGAACATAGCAGCTCAAGGTGGCAGAATTGAAAGGTGGCAAAGCTGAGATGCCAGCCGCTCCCTGCAGCAGGCAGTTGCCTTGGCTAATGTGGCCAAGTGCACCTCACAGGGGCCGGTGCTGGCCAGATCGGGCTTCAGGGCAGGGACCACATAGGACAGTCTGAAAAGAAAGGAATGAAGACCAAACCTTCCTAGAGGCTCCTCTCATCACGCAGGAGCTGTGCGTCTGTGCACATGGGACTGGCATGTCACATGGCAGGTGCACAGCCAGGCTCCCTGTCCATGGGACTCCCCTCACCCACAGGACTCCCCTCACCCACAGGACTCCCCACCCACAGGACTCCCCTCACCCAC